TGTCTCCTGGTCATTGGCCCAAAGTCACCCAGCTGGCTTTCCTGCCTGAGGCGGGACTAGAACTCATGGTCTCTTGCTTTCTAGTCTGGTGCCTTAACCACTAGACCAAACTGACTCACTTATGTTAGATTCTCTTGCCTAAGGATGGGTAAATGTAAAAGGACAGAAAAAGAAGCCACCAAGAGAGTTTGTTTCTTGCTTTCTTTATTGCACTGCGGTGTGGAGATATGGACCGAGAACTCAAGTAGAATCTGACAAGAACAGAACAGAACAGTTGGTTACTGCGATACGAGCCCTGTGCTCCTTTTAACGTTTTCCAAGACGGCTCTCGAGTGTTTAGCAGCAGAATCTCGCTGCTGAGTCATCTTTAATTTGTGGTTGAGAAGGACGCCCAGTTCCTCTTCACATGCATACTTCCCTTTCCTATCCTTGTGCTTTTCATGTTTTCTGTCCAGGTTTCAACATTTAAATTCCCTCCCATTCATTTCAGCCCATCGCCCAAGCCTAAAACTTCTTCTTTCGCATTCTCTCTCTCTCTCATTCTCCCTCTCGTCTAAAGTATTTACCACTCCTCCCACCTTTTCCTCGATTGCCAACTACCCCCAGGAGTCCTCAACCTGGTTTTGTAATTGGAGATATTGAAAACAGTTTGTAATTGTTTTTGACTTCCCAAAAAGATATTGATTTTTTTCAAGTTCATCGATTTAAAAAGATGTGGAAATTGCAATGATGAAGGCTATTGCTTAGCGCATTATAAGCCTGAGTCTCTGGAGAAGGGCGGCATATAAATCAAATTAAAAAATAAAATAAAAAAAATGATGTAGGAGAGGTCCTGTTTGAATGGCAGGGCATGTAAATAATTGCACCTAGTGACAATCTCATGGAAAAGGGGCAATTCTTATGATTTTAGATTCAAACCCAAAGCAAAAATGCAAACATGCCTTTTACATTGTAATATCATATTCTCAATTTGAGGAATGGCTGATCATCACAAGGTTTTGAAAAGAATATGCCATTGTTTATTTTAAAAAAAGACAGATGTGTAAACAGACTACGTTCAATATGCAATCGTAATGGATTAATGGGCCGCAGCAAGTAGTGGGTTTCACTTACCTTTGCTACCAGTTTGCAAATGTGAGCGCGCGCGCTACCCACCCGTAATGACGTCCGGGCGGGTGGATGGAACCACCCATTGCCGCCACCGCTAACGGTTCACCCGAACCGGGGAGAACCAGTAGAACCCCACCACTGGCCACAGCCTGTTCGAAACTGGGCTGTGGGAAAAATGGACGAGCTCCACTCGTGCGACTGACAGGCAAGCGCGTGCATCCGTGTGACGGTCTCCTTGTGTGAGCAGAAGGCGCTTGCGATTGTGCACGAAGCTCCACTCGCGCGAGTGGAAGGCACTTGCACGAGTGGGGCTTCATGCGCAAGCACAGGTATCCGCCACTTGCATGAGTGGAGCTTCGCGTGTGACGCGAGCATCCTCCGCTCAAGCGTGAAGCTCCATTTTTGTGAGTTGAGGGCATGTGTTGTGACCCAGGCCCACCTAGTTAACATTAAATGCAAAACAGTTCCAAAAAAACAAACAGATTTTATTAAAACAGCTGAGAATTAACTCATTCTCAGCGTATTCCAAATTAAATGAAAGCAAAGTCCTCAAAACACCATTCTTCAGTTTATCTCTGACCTTGGGATAATTAGGCAAACCGCCAAAGGCTTTTCTTGGCAACAGTTCAGGAACAGAAGACGCTGACAAGAAAGAAATACATCCAAACACGAAGCAAATCACTCAACGGTTGTTTTCCGGCAAAGAGGCCAAGAGCCATTGCTGGTCTTTTAAGCCCTCTGGGAGGGGCCAATCATCTCTTGGCCTTACTCCCGAGTTGTCCTTTTTGCTTTAGCTGCTCCTGCCTTCTGGCAGCTCTTCTCATACGTGCACTAGGAACAGGCTCCTCCTGTTCCTCTGCCTCTCTACTGTCAGCTTCTGGAGGCTCCGAAGTCCGCACATCATTCCCCGATGGCCCTGGCCCCATCTCTGCCTCCAATGCAGAGCCCTCATCCAGGCTTTCCCCTGTTGTGATCATCCTGGCGGGCTCCTCATGAGTAGTCCAGATTAGAGAAAGCACAAGGACAGGTGTTTCTCAGGATGAGAAAGCAGAAAACAAAAGTCTGCCATCTCTTTTATTAGTTATCAAAATACAGCGTCATCAGAAGGCGTTATTATGGCTACACATCTCATATTACATACATGAAATAGAAAAGCATCCATATTTTCTCCATATAGGTTTCACATTCTACCAATTACAGTAAATCACATGAATTCTAGGAAAGCGATACTTAAGGTGAAAACAAAACTTAACTCTGCTATGTTATCATATTTGCTGCTAGCCGAGAGGCCCATCTTCCCGGTATCAGATTACCTCAATCCTCAGGAATGTTCTACAAGGAGATGTCTCTGTTATGCAGGCACAGCCTATGTTCTGAACAAAGAGAGAACGAATAGGGCCCTTCAGAGAGTATCCATATGACCCCGCTTTTTCCACTCAGATTATTTCGGTGCCAAGCTCCATACAGTGTCCAACCAGTTAGATTGGTCTACACATATACTATGGCCACCTGATCTCCACATTTCCCAGCCTCTAGGACTGGCCCTTGTTCTTCCTCAGCCTCCTCGCTGTCTGACTCCACTGCCAGCTCCGCAGGCTGCTGGTGGACCACAACAACATGTGTGCATGCCGCTTACACAAATAGAGCCGTGCGTGTGTGCCTGCCACTCTCTCTCTCTCACGCACACACAGACACCCTGCACCGGGCTGCCAACCTGGAAAGGCTGGGGACCTCTGAACTAGACAAGTGCCCCCTCAACTCCTTCTCCCAAGTCATTAATAAAAATGTGGAAGAGCATCAGGCCCAGGACAGAGCCCTGTGGCCCCATTCCATCAGTGGTGAAATCCTCCGCGGTTTGCCACCAGTTTGCTGCCTGCCCATGCGCGGTGCACTCTAAATGCACAATGTCCGTGCGGATGTGCGATGTGCGCCAAACATGCTGTGTGAGCATGCACACTGCTTGCATGCATGCGCAGTGCGCACCAAATGTGCACTTTGTGCAGAAAAAGGAGGCTTAAGAAGGTGAAGCAGGGGAACAGCTGTGCCGCGCGATTTAGATTTGCTAGAAAGCAGGATTTCCTGCTTTCTAGCGAATATAAATCGCGCGGCACAGCTGATTGTTGGAAATACCGATTCAGAGGAACCGGTAGCTTTTATTACTACCGGTTTGCCTGAACCGGTGCGAACCGGTAATATTTCACCCCTGCATTCCATCCTTCCCTCCAAGCTAAAGTGGGACCATTAAGGAGCATTTGTTGGGCATGGCTTATCACCATCGGCCCTGACGGTTTCACCAGTTTCTCTTAGTGATGTTCTCCACTCTTGATGGTCCTGTCCCTACTGGTCCTCCTTAAGATCTTAATGACTTTGCTTTTCCCAAGGTGAGTCAGGGTGATGGATAAGCCTTCTGAAACGATTTTTTCGACCGAACCGTTGCGGTCTAGCTTTCATTGTAGCATGTCCCTTTGGTTTCTTGTTCTTAATTTTGTGGGTTTTTATATTAGTTTTAATCCTATGTTACTCATCAGGAGTCAGAGTCTGAGCTCTGGAGGAGGAGGGCACATATATTATTTAAATAAAGAAATACCTCTCCCCCTTTTGGCTTTTCTTTTCTCTCTGGCACACACAGATATTTTTTTCGGTTTACTTTATTTTGGAAAAGGTTTTATTTTTTGGTATGTTTTGCAAGCTTCTCAAACCCTTATTCAAGCTTTTCTAGCTTAGTTCGCTCCAATGTAGTTTCTGGACCTACTGTACTTGTTCTCCTTTATTCCTGCCTCACTTTTACAACTGTTGCACTCACTGAGTTCAGATTACTCACGATTCATTAATTCAAGCTGCAAAGGTTTTGAAGTCCCCACCAGGTGTTGAATCCACCAAGGGGGCTGTATTTCGATTGCAACATTCAGTCTTAGCGAACCTGATTGGGTTTGTTTTCAAGTAAGGCTGGGTAGATTCCTTGAGCAGATCCCATGCCAAGAATTAAAATGGAATCTTCCGTCCCCCTGTTCTCCCACCCCCCCTGCCAAATAATGGGTTCTGCATATAAATAATGCATTGTGTAAATCGGTGTTTTCCAACCGTAGCCATTTTAAGATCTGTGGACTTCAACTCCCAGAATTCTCCCAGGCAGCACTGCCATTTTAATTCTAAAATGGTACCAAGCCGGTCGCCATTCGATAGTTTTCCGGAAGTGAATCTTTTGGAACGGGAAGCGATTCATTGTGGGTTCTCCAAATGGCCCTGTCACAAAAGGGGTGATTTCTATAGAACACACGTTGCTTGGACTTGAGCGGCAAAAAATGTAGGGGAAAAATACTCCTTTTCCCTCTATAGCCGGGTGGGAAATGATGACCCTTTTATGATGTGTGGACTTCAGTTCCCAGCATGAGCCAGCATGATGGACTTCCAACTCCCAGAATTCCTAAGACAGCCCTGCTGGCTGAGGAATTCTGGGAGTTGAAGTCCACAGTTCATAAAGGGGCCATAGTTGCTCATCCCTTTTACAACCTGTGGCCTTCAACTCCCAGAATTCCTGAGACAGCCATGCTGGCTGAGGAATTCTGGGAGTTGAAGTCCTCAGGTCATAAGGGGGCCATAGTTGCCCATCCCTTTTACAACCTGTGGCCTTCAATTCCCAGAATTCCTGAGACAGCCATGCTGGCTGAGGAATTCTGGGAGTTGAAGTCCTCAGGTCATAAGGGGGCCATAGTTGCCCATCCCTTTTACAACCTGCGGCCTTCAATTCCCAGAATTCCTGAGATAGCCATGCTGGCTGAGGAATTCTGGGAGTTGAAGTCCACAGGTCATAAAGGGGCCATAGTTGCCCATCCCTTTTACAACCTGTGGCCTTCAATTCCCAGAATTCCTGAGACAGCCATGCTGGCTGAGGAATTCTGGGAGTTGAAGTCCTCAGGTCATAAAGGGGCCATAGTTGCCCATCCCTTTTACAACCTGTGGCCTTCAACTCCCAGAATTCCTGAGGCAGCCATGCTGGCTGAGGAATTCTGGGAGTTGAAGTCCACAAGTCATAAAGGGGGTCATTGCTCCCCACTCTGCACAGGAATAACCCTATAAGCTAGTGACTGGTCCCATGTCATGCTGAGAATTTATGTAGCTGAGGTAGGCCTCAAAACCCTAACCCCCACACCACTTTCCATTTGTCATTGCATCTCTTCCTTGTTCAATCTTGCTTGCTTCTGCCCCTTTGCCAGGTTCAGATGTGGTCGACTGGCTGTACCATCATGTGGAGGGCTTCACCGACCGGCGAGAATCCCGCAAGTACGCCAGCAACCTGCTGAAGGCTGGTTATATCCGACATACGGTCAACAAAATCACCTTCTCGGAGCAGTGCTACTACATCTTTGGAGACCTCTGTGGAAGTACGGATTGTAATCATGGATATGGGCTGGGAAGGAGGGACGGGCCAATTGTAGGTAGTCCTCGACTTACGACCCCAGTCGAGCCCAAAATTTCTGTTGCTAAGGAAGGCAGTTGTTAAAAGTGAGTTTTGTCCCATTTTAGGACCTTCCTTGCCACAAGTTGTTAAGTAAATCACTGCAGTGGTTAAGCTAGTAACGTGGTTGTTAAGTGAATCTGGCTTCCCCATTGATTTTGCTTGTCAGAAGGTCTCACATAACCCCGGGGCATTGCAACCGTCATAGATCTGAATCAGTTGCCAAACATCTAAATTTTGATCACTTGACCACGGGGATGCTGCAATGGTCGCTAAGTGTGAAAAACAGCCGTAAGCCACGTTTTCCAGTGCCATTGTAACTTCGAACGGTCACTCAACAAAAGGTTTTAAGATGAGGGCTATTCGTATTTGAAACTCAGGCTTTTTCAGCTTGCAACAGGGAGTTTTGATCATTTTGGAACGAAAATGTTCCAGAATTCATTGGAACAGCCCATTTTGGTGCTCAAAGTCAGCGACCTCCCAGTGCTCAAAACAGAATGTTTTAAATTGAAGATGGTTTATAAGTGTTTTACACGCCTCTCTGGGAAGGAAGGAAAGAAGGAAGGAAGGAAGGAAGGAAGAAAAGGAAGGGGTGATTTAGCAGAAAAAGAGATGACTTAGCAAGAAAAACAAATAGATGGGTGATCGTGAAAGGCCCTGGGTGAGGTCAGTTATTTATTTATTTATTTATTTATTTATTTATTTATTTATTTATTTATTCATTCATTCATTCATTCATTCATTCATTCATTCATTCATTCATTCATTCATTCCTATACCGCCCTTCTCCAAATAGGACTCAGGGCGGTGAACAGCCAAAGTAAAAAACAGTACATACAAAATTTAAAAGCAGTTTAAAATAATTAAATATTTTGGCTGTAAATTAACACAACCCAATTTAAAATCAATTTAAAATTTAACTCAAGCCAGCCCAGCTAGTTGAAATAAATGGGTTTTCAGGGCCTGGCGAAAAATCCGGAGGTCTGTTATTGTACGTATCTCTGGGGGGAGGTTGTTTTGCAGAAGGCGCTCTTATCCTGAACTAGCGACAGGAAGCGTCTGTGCAGAGCAAACCCTGAATAGTTTGCTAAATCCTGCACTTCTCCTTTTTTTATTTTTTTTCCTTCTGCCTTAGGATGGGTAACTGACAAAATAATCACCACTGACAGACAGCCAGGGAAGTGGCCTTGAAGCAAATGTTCAGAAACATTATTGTATGTCAAAATCAGTGGTGAAATGTGAAATTCGTCACTACCAGTTCTGTGGGCGTGGCTTGGTGGGGTGGGGTGGGGTAATGTGACTGGGTGGGCCGAAGAGGTTGTTAAAAAAAATGCTTTTAAAAGCCTCTGACGATCCCAGCTGAGTTGCCTGATCGTCAGAGGCTTTTGTTTTTTTTTACTTTTAAAAGCATTTTTTCGGCCAAAGAGGTTGTAGAAAAAATGCTTTCAAAAGTAAAAAAAAAAAGGCTCTGCAGGTCGCGTGGCGCAGCGGGGCGGGGAGGGGGGGCGGGGGGCACAGGGATTTTTGCTACCGGTTCTCCGAACCACCCGCCGTCATCGCTACCGGATCAGGCGATCCGGTCCGAACTGGGAGCATTTCACCCCTGCTCCCTCCCTTCCCCGTGCCGCATCGTTCCACAAAATGGGGAAGCTTGGTGGCCGCTGATTTAACTTTTGCTGGTTTTCTGTGCCTCTTTTCTCCTTGCAGACATGGCCAACTTATCCTTGCATGACCATGATGGATCTAGCGGGGCCTCCGACCAGGATACGCTGGCTCCGTTACCTCACCCAGGAGCGGCCCCCTGGCCCCTAGCTTTTCCTTACCAGTATCCACCTCCACACCCCTACAACCCCCACCCCGGCTTCCCTGAGCCGGGTTACAGCTACGGAGGGGGCAGCGCAGGAAGTCAGCACAGTGAAGGTAAGCATCTACCAGGATCTTCACCTTCAAAGTCTTGTAGAACGTGGCCCTTCTTTCTTCTGCCTGAGTTGCGAATCGTGCCCTATCTGGGGTCCCTCTCTGGAAGAAAAGGAAAGGTCAGGTTGCATGCAAAATCTGGGTTGTGGGAATAGCCTCCTCCTCCTGGACACTCATGTTCCCTCTCAACCAAGGAATGAGTCTAACTTTTAAACATTTCAAAAATTATTGTTTGCTGCATCCTCATTCTAAATTGGTCACTTAGGCCAGGATATCCCTATGTATGGCTCTCTTCCCTTCCTTCCTTCCTTCCTTCCTTCCCTCCCTCCCTCCTTTATGCCTTCCTTCCTTCCTTCCTTCCTTCCTTCCTTCCTTCCTTCCTTCCTTCCTTCCTTTATGCATTGATTCCTTCCTTCCTTCCTTCCTTCCTTCCTTCCTTCCTTCCTTCCTTCCTTCCTTCCTTCCTTCCTTCCTTCCTTCCTTCCCTCCCTCCCTCCCTCCCTCCCTCCCTCTCTCCCTCCCTCCCTCCCTCCCTCTCTTCCTCCCTTCCCCACCCATCTCGTATCCAATGATTCTGGGCCAGTGGTAGAATTAAAAATTTTTTTACTACCCATTCTGTGGGCATGGCTTGGTGGGCGTGGTGTGGCTTGGTGGGCGTGGCAGGGGAAGGATACTACAAAATCCCCATTCCCTCCCCACTCCTGGGGGAAGGATGTTGCAAAATCTCCAGCCAGAGGTGGCATTGGCCGGTTTCTCCGAACTACTCAAAAATTCCCACTGCCAGTTCTCCAGAACCTTGTCAGAACCTGCTGAATTTCACCCCTGTTCTGGGCCGCTTGCAACATTAAAAAAGTTTAAAAAATCATTAAAATCATCCATCATGAAAAAAGCACAGCAGGTAAAATCATTAAGACGAGATGGCGAAAGAAGGAGCTGGACACACGAAGGAGGGGAGGTGGGGTTAAGTTTTAATCATTCAAAATCTGAACGATGCGAGAGCTCGGAGTCTCATCGTTTTCAGCCTGGTGCCTTCACTATTAGACCGGCTTTCCGTTTTAATAGCCCTTTCACTGGTCTGTCTCATGTTCCAATTGCAATATTTTACTCTTCGTGTGGTTACAGGAAGTTCTCAACTTACTACAGTTCATTTAGTGCAGTGTTTCTCAACCTTTTTAGCTTGAAGATGGGCGGACTTGAACTCCCAGAATCCCCCAGCCAGCGCTGCTGCCTGGGGGATTCTGGGAGTTGAAGTCCACTCATCTTCAAGCTTCCAAGGTTGAGAAACACTGATTTACCGGCTGTTCCAAGTTACAGCGGCACTGAAAAAAGTGACTTATGACCATTTTTAAAATAGAGTAGAATTGCAGAGTTGGAAGGGACCTTGGAGATCATCTAGTCCAACCCCCTGCTCAAGCAGGAAACCCTACACCACTTCAGACAAACGGTTGTCCAATCTTTTCTTAAAAACTTCCAGTGTTGGAGGCGGGGGGGGGGACACTGCAGATGTCGTAACTGTGAAAAACGGTCCTGAGTCTCTTTTTTTCCCAGTGCTGTTGTAACTTTGAAGCATCACTTAAAGGAACTGTGGTAAGTCGAGGACTAGTTGTATTGGGGCTATTTTGGTGGGGAATGCAGATTTCTGACCTGATGACAGAAGGTGCATTTTAGTCCCTGCTGGCTCGCTTCCTTCCGCAGATTCCCTCAGTTTAAATAAGGTAAGTCTTTTAGATCCAGCATTTCTCAACCTGGGCAGCTTGAAGATGGATGGACTTCAGCTTCCAGAATTCTGGGAATTGAAGTCCACTTATCTTCAAGTTGCCCAGGTTGAGAAACACTGTCCTAACCACTCTCAATTGTTACTCCCTGTGCAGGAAGCCGCAGCAGCGGTTCAAACCGCAGTGGCAGCGAGAGACGGAAGGACCGAGACCCCAAAGCCGGAGAGTCCAAGTCGGGCGGTAGCGGCAGCGAATCTGACCACACCAGCCGTAGCAGCATTCGCCGGGAGCGAGCGGCCAGCGAATGCTCCGTGCCGAGCAGCCAACGTAGCCATCACTCCATGGCTCACAGCGTGCGCAGCCACCACAGCCAGCAGTCTTACGGCCCTCCCGGCCTCCCACCTCTCTACAGCCCTCCCATGCTCCTGATGCCGCCACCCCCTTCCGCCCTGGGACCGCCCGGGGCTCCCCCGGGCCGAGATCTGGCCTCGGTGCCCCCTGAACTGACCGCCAGTAGACAGTCATTCCGAATGGCCATGGGCAACCCTAGTGAGTTTTTTGTGGATGTAATGTGAAGATCCCCCCCCCCCCCCCCCCCCCCCCCTCCCCCTCTGGGGGGCCCCCCCCCCCCCCCCCCCCAAGTTGGTTTGTCTCCTAGAAAGAGCACACTCGGTGTGAGATGCATCTCTTGTCTGCCTGTATCTCTCTCTCTCTCTGTGTCTCTGTCTCTCTCTCTCTCTTTCTCTGTTTTGTTTTTTTGACTAGGCATTTATGGAAAGGGGTTGAGGAAATCAAATAAACTAAGCCAGCAGTCCCCATCCTTTATGGCTTGGGGGAGGGGGGAGAGGGGAACTGGCTCGACCGCTAGTGCAAGTTGAGCCAGCCAGCTGCGCGTGCAACCCGCTTCTGAACAGGCCGTGGCTCGGTAGCGGACCGCAGCCTGAGGGTTGGGGACCCCCGAACTAAAACTGTTTGATTCTAATCTTTCCCGCAAGTGTCTCTCCAGAAGCTTCTCCTGAACACCGCCCTCCCCACATGTGATTGCAGAAAAGAACAGCCCTAACCCAGCTTGTATTTTTACCTTGTTAACCTGCACGCTAATCCATTAATCTGCACCCACCCGGGACTTCCGCTGCTCGCCCGTTGTCGTTGTTGTTGTTTTTTCCCACGCCACCAGCCCTTTAAACACCTGCCCTCTTTCTCCTCCTCGCCCCTCTTGTGTTCCTCTCTGCCGAGCAGCCAAGAATTATGGGGTCTTTGACTTCCTTTGAGCTGGCCAGCCGTGGTTGGGGAGAGCCGCGGCGCGCGGTGGTGGTTTGGTTCCTCCTGCCTCCAGGAGAGGAAGAGACAGAGCCTTTTCAACCTGCTTTAGGGGCGCAAGATGACTTCTTGGTTTTGGAAAGACGTCCTTCCTTCTCCGTCAGCCCGGGAGGGAAGCAGGGCTGAGCTCCCGACTGTGTCCTTCTTCGCCAGCAGCGTAGCCTTCACCCGTGAGACTCTTGAGATGGACCTGCTAGATGGTGGCGACTTCCCTTTCTTCGCTGAATCCTCAAACTGGGATGAAGGTTTTCCTAGGGAAAACGCTGGAGGTTAAACTCGGGTGCTTGATGTCCGGAAGAAATCCAGGACGAGAGGGCCAGGACACTGTCTCCACTCCAAGGCTAGGTTCCTCAAGATCTCCAAAACTTTTCTTTTCAAAAAAAAAAAACAACATTGAGTAAATGCAAAGAAAACTCTTATCAAAAAAACCAGGATTGCTTGCTTGCTTGCTTGCTTTTTGGAACACCAGTGTTGACCACGAATCACATTTGGGTTGCACTGCTGTTGGACGTGTCCGTAGATTTTTTCCCCCTGCTACCACTTTGTCACAAACCTACAGTTTTCCATCATCTCTCTGGGAAATTTTGAGTTCTTTCCCATCCCATCTTGCCCTTATTATCATTGGTTTTTTTCCCTTTCATTGCTATGTGGATTGGCACTGCCTTCGTTCTTTGTGTGTGTGTGTGTGTGTGTGTGAAAACAATCCCGAAACAAGGGGGAAAAAAAAACAATTAAGGTCCTGGGAGAAATGTGAAAAGCATTTATCCAGGGGTGAAATTCAAATTTTTTCCCTACCGGTTCTGTGGGCGTGGCTTGATGGGTGTGGCTGGGGAAGGATATTGCAAAATCTCCATTCCCTCCCCACTCCAGGGGAAGGATACTGCAAAATCCCCATTCCCTCCCCACTCCTGGGGGAAGGATATTGCACAATCTCCATTCCCATCCCACTCTGGGGCCAGCCAGAGGTGGTATTTGCCGGTTTTCCAAACTACTCAAAATTTCCGCTACCGGTTCTCCAGAACCTGTTAGAACCTGCTGGATTTCACCCCTGCATTTATCCCTGAAGGGAAGGACTGACTTCTAAGAGATTGTGTTAGGGTTGACACTCTTTCGTTCTCTCCTTCCCTTCTGCATGATTTCTGGGAGTTAACAAACTTTTCTGCTTGTATGTAGCCTGTTTTTGTTTTTTTTTTAAATAATACTGGTTGCAGAATTCAACTTCCGGTTCCTGTTTTTAGCAAATCAAATTTTCTCTTTGTTTCGAAGTTGGACGATCTGGACAGTTGGCTTTTGAAATCTTTTGAAAGCCAGGAGAAAGACAGAGAGAAGATGATGCTTATTCCTCTCGTGGCTCGGCACATATCGAGGGCATCGTGAAAGCACAAACAGCTGACATTTGCCAGCCTGGTATTCCATTTGCTCTCCGACCTCATCCCGCCATCGAAATATGGACAAATTCTGATCCTTAAGGGCTGGTTCCCCACAACACACTGAAGCACAAACTAAAGATCTTACTGAATCCATGGACTCCTCCGAGTATCTTCCTTATCTTTCTGTGGGATATTGTCTTCTCACTTCCCTAGTCTGGCATCAACAACCGATTTCCTACTGACCTATCCAAACACTAACCAGATCCAGTACACGTTTGTTGTTTGGAGGTCAGCCAAGGTCAGCTAGGAGCTGCCACATGCTGCGGAGTATCCCGTCCTGCTTTACCTACACTTAATACGTGGTATGAACCCTTCTAAAGGGAACGCAGCTTTGTGGCGTTCCCCTTTTAATTGTGGCGGCGTCAGCAGCTCTTCCTTACCTGCTTCCTGTGCAGGATCATGTCAGGGGTGCATAGGCTCCCGAGTTCCTTTGCTTTTTAGCTTCAGTGTCCATCCGTCGAGCGTCACTGTGAAGAGCGAATCTGGAGAACCCATGAGTGACACGGGGGGAACTTAACGATGGCGGTTAAACCCAGCTGTTCATTGGCATTTGGGATGCCCAGAAGGGAAAAGCGGGGAGTGGCATTTGCTTTGCTAGTAAAGGACTCGTACGGTCAACCTCGATCAGGAAAAATGCTTATAATCATGCCAAGTGACTTTCAGGGGTCTCATCAGGTGCTTCATCGTTTGGTTTTACCTTGAGGCAAAAGTTCTGTTCGGTTTGTTTGGGGCCAGTTTTGGTCTTCCTACTGATTTGCCCTACCTATGAAATTTTTTTCCCTACCTTAGATTTGGTGGGCATGGCCATCGGCCATTCTGAAAGGTGGGAGGCGTTTTTGTCAGCTCTCGTCACTTCTACGAGATGCTGCGATTCCAATAAGCCTAACGCCTTTTCTCTGACTGGTAGTCAAGAATAATAAGTAGATGTTTTACGGTGAGACCTTTTTGGTCCTGCGTGCCTGGTGTTGGTAGAACCAGGCAAAATTTGCAGGTCTGAGGCCACATCCAGTCCAGCACCTTTCAGGTTACCCTTCACTTTCATTCCTACTGGGTTTGAATCGGGGATGAAATGCTATTGGTTCGGACTGGTTCTCCCGAACCAGTAGTAAAAATTGCTACCAGTTCGGGTGAACCGGTATTTCCGACGATCAGCTGTGGCGCACGATTTATATTAGCTAGAATCATCGGATTTCCTGCTTTCTAGCTAATCTAATTCGCGTGGCACAGCGGATTTCCCTCCCCCGCTGTTCTACTTACCTTTGCAGCAGTGGTGAAATCCAAACTTTTTTACTACCGGTTCTGTGGGCGTGGCTTGGTGGGCGTGACTTGGTGGGCATGGCAGGGGAAGGATACTGCAAAATCTCCATTCCCACCCCACTCTGGGGCCAGCCAGAGGTGATATTTGCCGGTTCTCCGAACTGCTCAAAATTTTCCGCTACCAGTTCTCCAGAACCTGTCAGAACCTGCTGGATTTCACCCCTGCTTTGCAGACTCTGAAGGCTTCAAAATGTTCCTTTTTTAGTGCTGCGCGGACGTGCCTCAAGTGTACACGCAAAACATGCGCTCGGTAGCAGACTCACAGAACCGGTAGCAGATTTCAGAGGATTTCACTGCTGGTTTGAATAGCATCCCCATCTTTCAGTCTACGGTGAAGTGGCGAAGGAAAGGAGGGGGCTGGGAAGCAGTGCCGGCTGAGAACAAAACTATTACAGGCGGTCCTTGACTTAACAACCCTTCAGTGACTTTTTGAAGTTGCAACGGCGCTGGGAAAAAAATGACTTATAAGTGGTCTTCCTTGTTATGATCGTTGCAACATCCCCATGGTCATGGGTCAAAATTCAGACTGAGATGTATATATGATGGTTGCAGGTTCCGGGGGTCGTGTGATTGCCGTTTGCAACCTTCCAGCCGACTTCACACAAGGAAATCGGATTCGCTTAACGGCCATCGCCCCCCCCAAAAAGCCGTAACATTGGGGGTGACTCACTTCGCTGCCTTGTTTAGCAACACAAATTGGTTCCAACTGGGGTTGTAAATTGAGGACCGTCTGATTTTTGAAGTCGGGGGGTGGGGGGCAGAGTAGAGTTGGTGTAGGGAAAAAAAAAGTGACATTTTGCCCTTCATACTTGATTTGCTTTTAGGATCTCTGTCCGTCATGCCTTCTCTTCATGGGTTGAAGGAACCGCAAATGTTTGGCCTTGAAGAAGGGGGTAGAGAAACCCCACCTAGTGACTGCTATCTTGAAAGCTCTTTGCTTAGGTACAGATCCCACACTAGGCCCTTTCACTGAACAAGGATTGTGCCTTTCCATTCGCGCACACACATTCCCTGATGCTATGTAAATTGTCTTCCGGGTCAACAGCCACATGGGTTTCCTTAGACTCAAGGATTATCTTGTTTCTGTGTCGTTTTTTTTTTTAAAACGTTCTGCAATTTCTTTGATTCACAGTTAGTATTTTTCAGGCCACCGCCCCTAATTTTATCTGCCGCCGTCTTTTTTTTTTATGTCCTCTTTGCCATAAAAACAACTTTGACTCTCCCCCCCCCGCCCCCCTCCCCCCCCCACTTCCCGGTACACCCTCCATCTGTTGCTGGTCCCTTCCCTTCGGTTTTCTTCCTCCTGACGTTGGTGCTACCGTCTCATCATGCATATTGCCTTACCTCCTCTTCCTTGGTTTTATATCAATCGAAAACTTCCTATGTGTTTTTATTTATAAAATAGTTTTATTGGACTCCACGCTGGTGTGTGTGCTTTCTTTCTTTTTTTTTTTTTCCCGTTTCCAAAAGAACCCCCACATCTGCCTGTTTCAGACACTGGTTCGCAAAGGTGACTCGGCTTCAGGGGTGTCCACGGAACGTGGTGAAGAAACAGGTTAAGATGTGGTCAGATGGCGCAATTGAAACTTCACGTGAACTCTTAACCATTATCTGTTTTTAAGCAGGGGTGGGATTCAGGCGGTTCGGACTGGTTTGGGAGAGCCGGATGCTAATTTTACATCCGGTTCGCTGAACCGGTAGTTGCATGGACTGACTGGCCCCGCCTACCCCTCCCAGGAGTCTCCACGCGGCCCGTTTTGGATGCCACGTAAGTGCAGGGCCTGCACAGAGGCTCTGGGAGGGCGAAAAATGGGCCTACCGGAAGTTCCGGAAGTCCAGAAATGGGCCCGTTTCCAGCTTCTGGAGGGCCACCGGAGCCTGGGGGAGGCCATTTTCACCCTCCCGGAGACTCCGGAGCCCGTTGAGGGCGAAAATGATCCCTCCCACTGTGATGCAGGAGGCTGAGTAGGCCACGCCCACTATGGCCACGCCTGTTCTGTCCCCGTCCCACACGCACACACACCAACAGATGTCCAAGAGTTAAAGACCAAACCAGCTGACAAAATCCTTTTCCTTATGATAACGGAACTTGGCAGCAACCTAGTGGCTGCCTGCCAAGAGTTTATTACTTATGAAGGGAAGAGATAACTTCTCTCCGCTTCTGGTACATCAGAGTAAAATGCTCAATAATTACAGAGTAATTCAAGTCCAAAGATAATCCAGCAAAGTCTATAGCAAAAGTCCGGCAATGCAGAATGGCGTGGAAGCTTTCAGCTTTGTTCGTTACAAGGCTTGACTGGCCACCACGCTCCCTTTTATACCCTGTGGGGTGTGGTCCAGTGACTCAGCCTAATCTCGGCCACGCCTTCTGTTGCACGCGCTTACCTCTGCGACGCTGGCGTGGATCGAGCCAAGACTCATTACTCTCATCACTGTCCACCTGTGGCTGCGTGGACGTGCTTGGCCCTGGCCCTGGCCCTATCTCTTGCCCTTCGGCGGACACGAAGGCATTGCCAGAGAGGAGGGTCCTGGAGAGGGAGGCCTTGCCAACTCCTCTCCTTCACTCTCGGAGTCCTCTCCTGCCGATGACACAGGCTCAGGCAACGGAGCCACAACAACACCCACCCAGCAACCGGGCAAAGAACCGCTAAAATTTTTGAATCCCACCTCTGCAAACATATTTTGTGGTATTCCTTGATTTGCTAAAATAGATTGTCCCACTTTCTGTTTTCCTTCTGCACTCATGAGTGAAAAGTTCTCTTTTGCTTTCTGGCCCTAGGGCAGTGGAAAGGAGGTTTGGAGGAATGGTTTGAAAAGCTTTTCCAGAGGGGCTCTTAGAAAATAAAGAACAAAGAAGGAATAGTGAGGAGGAGAGACGAACACTGAATCTTTTGTACGCTTTCTGTGATATTTGTCATTTTCTTTAAAAAAAACAAACCACATGTAATTGTGCTCGGAGTTGCTGTAGAGTTTAGGTGGCCTTGAAATTAAATAATGCCTAATGCATAAAATAAGAAAGAAATAAAAACCCCACTCTTAAAAGGGAAAAGAATAGTGAAAGTCAAAATAACTAGAGCATAAGAGAAGCGATATTAAAATAGGTGAAAAATAATCAGTATAATCAGGGATATTTGATACCGTTTTGGTTCCGGTTTTGATAAATCTGAATTTGTAGAAATCTCACCTGGTGTCAACTCCCCTAGATAGATCAGATCAAGAAATCAACTCCACGGGAAGTCTTAAGACTACAGAAGACCTCGACTTACAACAGTTTGTTTAGTGACCATTCGGAGTTGCGATGGCACTGAAAAAAGTGACTTACGACCATTTTCCACACGACCCTTGCAGCCTCCCCATGGTCACGTTGATCAAAATTTAGAGGCTTGGCAACTGGTTCATATTTTTATTTGATTTTATTTATTTGATTTGTCAAGTACGCATTAGATAATACATATATAGGTGAATTGAATACATAACATGAATACAAATAAAGGGAACATTAGGACGGGGATGGTAGGCACACTGGTGCTCAATAAATAAATATATAAATAATAAATAAATATATATCATATCATATATATCTTATCATATTTATGACGGTTGCCGTGTCTCGGGGGTCATATGATCCTCTCTTGTGACATTGTGACAAGCAAAATCAATGGGGAAATCAGATTCACTGAACATCCATGTTACTTAACAACCAAAGGGATTCACTTAAGAACTATGGCAAGAAAAGTTGTAAAATGGGGCAAAATTCACTTAAACAAATTAATTAATTTAATTTTATTAAATTTTTATACCGCCCTTCTCCTGCTGGACTCAGGGCAGTGCACAGCCAAGAATAAAAAAAACATCCCAATGTCTCAGCAACAGAAATGTTGGGCTGAAATGAGGTCATAAATCAAGGACAACCTGGTACTTAGGGAGGTGTCTGAATCACTTCCAAATGTGATCTGGCTGTTAAGAGATTTAAAATCTGTTTTACCCCTTGTCAAGGTCATCTTATTTGGAAGTGATTCAGACAAGCTCCCTAATTCACTGAATTGTTAAAACGGAGAAGGGGGCTTAGAACATAATCAGTCTTGCAAGATTCTGTTGTTATAGCCACTGACAATAAAAGTTGTTTTAGGCTTACAGAATCAATCCATTTTCTAGGGTCATTAGATGAATTAAACTAATTAAACACAACCAATCTGCATAATGCATGTTGCAAAAAAATTAACCGTGTTAATGTGTTGCATGAATGCATCCATTAGATCAGAGGTCTTCAAACATGGCCGCTTTAAGACTTGCGGACTTCAACTCCCAGAATTCTCCAGCCAGCAAGCTATGGCTGGAGAATTCTGGGAGTTGAAGTCCGCAAGTCTTAAAGCGGCCATGTTTGAAGGCCTCTGACATAGAGCATAGCTGGCTGGAGAATTCTGGGAGTTGAAGTCCGCAAGTCTTAAAGCGGCCATGTTTGAAGGCCTCTGCATTAGATGCTCATTTAATTTGGCTAAGTTTTGAATCTCTGGCATTTTGAGCGGAATATCAGGAAAGATGCTCAGCTTTCGTAAATTAAGCCATCTTTCCCAAACGAGCCTTTGAGGAAGATTGGGATGAAAATCAGAGGGTTGGACTAGAAGACCTTCAAGGTCCCTTCCAACTTCTGTTATCCTTCAACAAATATAGGGCCTTTAGCCATGTCTGGCAAAATAATGTAAGCAAGCTTACATGATTCCCCACCCCCCCTGGATGTTTTGATCTATTTGCAAGATGTACAACTGCAGACCAGAACATGCCAGTTGAAGAAGGAGACAGGTAAATTTCCTGTTATCAGGTATCTGAGCTATCTTTGGGTGTGTGTGTGTGTGTGTGGCAATTTTCACAATTGCCTGATCACTGCTTTCAGGGAGGTCATGAACCTTTATAGCACAGCTTTGTCTAATCCAGGGGTCTGCAACCTTCAGCACTCCAAGAGTCATTTGGACTAGTTTCCCACAGAAAAGAAAACACCGGGAGCCACAAAAGCCTTCCCACGCCTGATTATTCCTTGAGCGGCCACAAAACTAGCATATGTAGTTGAATTAAACGTTCTGTTTTCTTCCGAAACTGTTCTTTTCTTGGATTTATCCATGGTTGGCCTACCGGGGGTTGAAAAGCTCAATAAATTGCGTGCCGGCGGGTGCCGCATATTGGTGGTTGTGACGCATATTTTGAGTGACGGAGCCGCATGCAGCTCCAGAGCTGCAAGTTGCTGAGCCCTGGTCTAATCAAATGAAAGTTCCCCCAACAGAGCAATTGGAGGGACTTTGAATTATGTTAACACCCAGGCATCATATCTGGTATATAGGTAAAACTGATCTGCATTTTGGCCTAGTTCACACGGCAGGCTTAATAAGTGGAAGGAAGGTAGAGGGACAGCATACACCAGCTGGATTTGGTTAGGGTTAATCATAGATTGCTTTCCTCTTGGCTTAGAATGTGGTGCAGACTGCTTACTGAATTAACCAAGCTGAGTCGCTTTTATGATTTAAAATCTTTTTGTGAACCAAGAAAGTGGGTTTATTTAGTAACCAAATTAAGTCTGTTATGTGACTGCTCCTAAAGTACCATAAATAGGTAATCTTTACTGCCTTCTCAAAGAGAAGATAATTGCTACGTTTCCGTTCAGATACAATAACTACAACCAGTAGGATTGTTTTGCAAGGAAGATCGCCTTTGACCACCAATAAAACAGAACTTCAAGAGATAACTTGATAACGTTTTGCTTTAAAAACTTTTTTCTGTCTCTCAAAACCTGTTTAATACAGATAGTCCTCAATTTGCAAGTTCGTTTAGTGACCGTTGGAAGTTACAATGGCACTGAAAAAAAGGGATTTATGACCATTTTTCAGATTTACGACTGTTGCAGATTCCCCCCCCCCCAACCCCTGATTTACATTTAGATGCTTGACAACTGATTCACTTTTATGACCGTTGCAGTGTCCTGGGGTCATTTTACAACCTTCTGATAATCAAAGTCAATGGGGAAACCAGATTCACTTAACAACCAGGTTACTAATTTTAACAACTGCAGTGGTTCACTTCGCAAATGTGGCGAGAAAAGTTGTCAAAGGGGGCAAAACTCACTTCACAAATTTCTCAGCAGTATAAATATTGGCCTCAATTGTGGTCATAAATTGAGGACAATCTTGTTCACACTTGGATGTATTCATAAAGACATCTATCAAAGGACCCTATTAAGCCCACATATACTGGTGAGCATGTTGCAAGAAACCACGTATGGATGTACTGCGCAGACAAGCAAAGTTTTGTTATTTATTTTTTATTTATAAAATTTACTGGCTGCCCATTTTTACCGCAGGGTAATTCTGGGCGGCTTGCAATATTTAAAAAAAGGATAAAACTATACAAAAGCATATGTGTGTGTGTGTGTGTGTGTGTGTGTGTATATATATATATATATAATATTTTATTAAATAATTAAATGAATTAAAGATGTGTGTGTATATATATATGCATATATATGTATATATGTATGTATATGTGTGTATGCATGTATGTGTATGGTGTATGTATATGTATATATATGTGTATATATGTGCATATGTATATATATGCATGTATATATATATATATGTATATAATATATATACACACATACATATGTATACATCCACACATATATACACATACATATATACATATACACATATATACATATACATACACCATATATACATACATACACATACATATATATGCATATATATATGCATACACACAAACACACTCACACACATATAATTCATTTATTATTTAATAAAATATTATTAAAGTACAGATATTGAGTCTACGCTGCGTTCAAATGCCCGATTAAAGCCTATCGAGGCCGTGATGCCTTGCGCGCCGTCCGGATTTTTTTTTTTTTTTGATTGCGCGGTGCATGCCGGTCTTCGAAGTCTTTCCCTCTTTTCCTCACCGGTTGGTAACCGACCCACCCAAGTCTCTCTCTCTCTCTCTCTCCCCCACACACCCACGGGATAGGCGCATGCGTGCAGCGTGCCGGGCGTGCCTCGCGCATGCGCCCGGGGCCGCTGCTGCAGTGATAGCTGAGGGGGGGCGGCCGCCATCTTACCAGTCGGCGGAGGGGGCGAGGGTTGGACGCGGCGGCGGCTGCTTCTGCCGTCGGCGGGACCAGGTGAGTCGGGACCTTCCCGAGCGCCCCAGGAAGGGAAGGCAGGCCTCGGTTTGCTTCGTCCGAGGCAGGCCAGAAGTGGCTTCCCGCGGAGGCTCGTTCCGCCCCGCCCTTGAACGAGCGGCTGCTTTCTCCCGCTTTTTTCTTCTGAGGCGCCGCTTCTTTTCCCGGCGGGGTCCGCTCGAGGCCGGTCCTGGCGCTGAGGGGTTACGGGTTGGAAGAGGAAGTTGCAGCCTCTCTTCTGAGGTGGAAATTCCCTCAGGGACTTGGGGCCCGTCGCGTTTTCTCCGCCCGGCCGACCTGCCGGGGTGTCGTGGGTGACGCGTGTCGTCTGAAGCTGGGTGTGTGTGTGGGAATGGGGCGCCCATTCAGGGTCTCCTCAGGTGGGGGACATTTCATGTAACGGGGGGCGTTTTCATGCTTGTCGGTTCTATAAACCGCTACTTTTAACGGGATGGCCAAGCAATGGTCCCTATAATCGGTTAAACTGGACGGGAGCAAACGAAGAGAATAACAGAAAGAGAGGGAAGGGACTTTGGAGGTCTTCTAGTCCACCCCCCTGGCTCAAGCAGGAGACCTTATACCAGAGGTCTTCAAACTTGGCAGCTTTAAGACTTGTGGACTTCAACTCCCAGAATTCCCCAGCCAGCATGCTGGCTGGGGAATTCTGGGAGTTGAAGTCCACAAGTCTTAAAGCTGCCAAGTTTGAAGACCTCTGGCTTATACCATTCCAGACAAATGGTTGCCCAACTTCTTCTTAAAACACCACTTCTGAAGACCAGCTGCTCCATTGGATGAATTGTTCTGCCTGTCAGGAAATTCCTCCTTAGTTCTAAGTTGCTTCTCTCCTTGATTATAGTTTTTCATCCATTGCCTCTTGTCCTGCCTTCAGGGGCTTTGTTTGGAGAATAGGTTGACCCCCCCTTCTTCTTTGTGGCAGCCCCATAGATATTGTAAGACTGCTATCATTTTATTTATATTATTTCTTTTATTTATTAAATTTTTATACCGCCTAAGGACTCAGGGCTGAACCCAAGATTTACATACAATGAAAATAAAATAATTCATAATTAAATCAATTTGGCTTCAATTTAAAACCCTTTGCCCATTAACCAGTTAATTTTAAGTCCAGCCCGGCTTGCTAAATAGAAAAGTCTTCAGGGCCCGGTGGAAAGTACTGGTCTATCAGTCGTATCCCTGGGGGTAGCTCGTTCCAGATCGACACAGAGAAGGCTCTCCCTGTGAGTTTGTTTGACCGACAGCACCCTGAGGAGACTCTCTGTGGTACGTATTCCAGAGGTATATAGGTGGCAAGAAGGTGTCTCGTAGATACCAAGCCCTAAGCATGGACACTTTGAAGTGATAGAACCATATATCTTGAAGCGCAATAAGACACCACCAAAAGCTAGTGCAACTCACGCAGGAGAGGTGTTACATCGCGCCATGTACAATCACCCGCATTCTGGACAGTTGGAGCCTCCGGGTCCTAAGGGAGCATGTAGATTACAGTAGTCCAGCGGGAAGTGACGAGGGCATGAGTATATAAGGAGTATCCAAAAGGGCCGCAACTGGCGTATCAGGCGAACCTGATAAAAAGCCCCCTGGACAGCTGTCATATGCTCTTCTAAAGACAGCTGTGCATCCAGGAGGACGCCAAAGTTACGAGCCCTCTCTGTGGGGGCCAATGACTCTCCCCAATAGCCAGCAATGGCACCAGCTGGCTATATCAGGACACCGGGAACCACAGCCATCAGTCTGATAGCCTGTTCCTCCCCATCTAGACCCGCAGGACTCCAGGCAGGGACATCACTTCAAGGCATCATTGGGGTGTCTGTCATCCAAGTCCTCCTTTCATTAATTAGACATATCCAATTCAGCTAGTTTAATTTTTCTCATTGGCAGGAAATTCCTCAGTTCTAGGTTGATTCTGATTAATAGAATAGAATCTTTATTGGCAGCCTTCCATCCTTTCTAAGGTAGGTAAATTGAGGACCCAGTTTGTGAGGGCAATAAGCTGACTTTGTATAAAATATACAAAAGTATGAAGGCTATTGCTTAACGCATTGTAAACCGCCCTGAGTCTCCGGAGAAGGGCGGCATATAAATCAAATTTTTTTAAAAAATGGATTAGTTTCCATCCATTGCTTCTTGTCCTGCCTTCAGGGGCTTTGGAGAATAGGTTGACCCCCCTCTTCTTTGTGGCAGCCCCATAGATATTGTAAGACTGCAATCGTGTCACCCCTAGTCCTTCTTTTCATTAAATTAGATGTATCCATAAAAATGGATGTAGCTTTTTAGGGTTCTGTAGATAAATGGTCTTTTCTTCTCTCTCTCCCCCCCACCCTTTCTGTGTCCTTGAGAACATTTGACAGATTCCATTTGAACATTACAGATTCCATCATTTGCAAAGCTGGGTAAGGATGATGGGTTTTGGGAGAGCAGACTCTGAGCAGGGCACATATATGGATAAAATGGGACGACATGTAGTGCTGTGTTTGAACCATTCAAGTTGAGAAAAAGTCTCTAAAGTGTCTCCCCCCCCCCAGTTGTTGCTTTTTCTGAACAAACTATCAACCTCAAAGGAAGCCTTGGATAGGGTTGCTTGAGAAGATTGAGGAGAAGGACACCAGTGTTTCTGTAGCTACCTTATGGAGCCTTGCTGGTGAGACAACCTTGGAAGGTTGGATATCAGGTTTTGAGATCTGTGTCTGTGATTCCTATTGGCTAGTTCTTCAGCATTTGTTTTTGGTACTCCTAGTTTAAAGAGACAGTTTAAGCATATACTTATCCTTATTGTAGGGTTGTTGGTTTTTTTTAGTTTGAGAACCTCTGGAGCGATTATAGCACATCACATATTTAGACATCATGTCTTTGGAGTTTGGAGGACAGTTTGTCTTGTTCAGATTATGAATGCCACATTTACAGGCAAAGGAACATTTTATTTGGTTTAATTGGCAATATTCCAGCAATAATAGACCACACTTTGTGTATCAAGGCTGAGAACAGAAGAATTTCCTGTACACGGGATGCCTGGATTGTTTCCAGGAGATTTTGGCTGCAAAGGAAAATCCTGTCACTTCATGTCAAGTTTGAAGGATGGCTGCTTGTCTCTTTGAGGGTTGGGGAAATTATGTGTGAATAAGCGGAAATCTAAGTGGCTATCATTAAATGACAATTGATTCATTTTTACAGTGCTAATGATACATGATTAAAGATGATTATGTGCCGTAGTTCACAATGAAAGATATTAAATTTACTTATTAGATTTTTATCCTGCTTTTCTGTTTCTTCAAAAACTATAGTTGCTTATAAGTAGCAAGTTTAAAATGAAGCCACATATAGCACAGTTAAAATTAAGCTGTTACAGGTTGGCTTCAGAGGGAGGGTGTGATATACAAATATGACTTTTACTTTTACATAAAGTAAAAGTTCTTATTTGGCAGAAGCCATGTTTGAACATAGGGGGAGTGGGAGTTAAATGTGCATCGTATAGTCCCATATTTCACAGACAGATGGTCAGGAGTTTTGCCAGTGGGGAATTTTCAAAAAACCCTTTCCTTCTAATATAAGTAGTAATTCTACATATACTATAGTTGGATACTAAGTTTTGAAGAGCTTTATATGTCAATACCAATACTTTGAATTGTGCCTATAAGGCTCTTGATAGATGGCTCAGGTCTTTATAGTACATGGATATAGATATAGAATATAGTATAGATATTGAATAAACCTATAGCTGAATAATGCATTTTGCACCACTGGGCACTTTTCAAGGGTAGCATCATATATGATGCATTGTAATTGTAAAGGTAAATTATAACCAGTACATCTGTAAGGATTAAATCTGGTTGCTAAAGATGAATTCTGATGAACAAGGTAACTGTAATTGTACAAATGTCTTCCTTGCAACTGTCACTTGGAAATCCACTGATAGCTGGTAATTACTGAGAACTCAGAAACTTCCTCCTGAAAGAATGCAACCCCATGCAGGATATGGACTCCAGGCCAGCTTTTACTAACACCACTCCATCTTGGCTTGTTCTCCCTTATTTATTCCATCATCAAGATTAAGCAGTGTTCAAGAATGCTTTTTGGTTCCTTAGAATTAGGAGCACTGGAGCTCTGTGTCATCGGTGTCTCCTAGACCCAACTGTACTACACAGTCCAAATGAATGCCATAGTCAATGTTGTAGAAAGATTCACCCTAACTTCTTCATTAATTTCCAATGTGAGTCATCTACCACAGTGGTCAAAGAGGCTCAGTAACATATCATGGACAAAATCCTGATTTAAATGGGTCCAGATAATAAATGTCATCCAGGTATATTTCTTCAGTTGCAAGGACGCTACTTTCCCAATCATTTAATCTAAGAATTGAAGATTTTAGATTACTTCTGGTTAGATACAAGTCAAGGTAGTACCTTTTCAGTATTTATTTTTAGTAGCCTACTTTTATTTTCCAGTTTTTAATATGCTATACTGTCTAGTTGTAAAAATTCTAAGAAATTGTAATAGATAAAAAGAAGCATATACAACCACAATAAAATATAAATATGCTGGACTTAAAATGTGACAGAATTGGTTAAAATGCTGAATATTAATATCCTTTAAGCATGCAGGGATTCAACCTATACTTAAAGCAGTGTTAATTATCCCCTGAATTGTGAAGACAGTCCCAGCCTAGCAGATTTAATCTGACTGGAGGGGCAAAGGTTAAGATGACAAATGCAGCTCTCATTTCCCTCTGCACTGTCTCCATTTTTGAAATCTACAAGCTGAAAAGAGTCCATGACAAGTGGGTTGTGAACATTGCTTGCATTCCATCTTCCTGCCAGTTTACATCATTGTGCTTATTGCCTTGATTAACTAAGGTCCTGAGCTTTGCTGGAGAGGTACTTAGAATTAGTAGCTGGGTCATGTTTCTGGCCCATTCATCAACCAAATCCTTTGTCCATGAAATTGGAGATACCAAAGAATGACTCCATTTTCATACTGATAACACC